ATATAGGGATATATATAATATCCTTCACCCTTGTGTATTACTTCACCCGACACTCTACAGTTTGACAAATGTTGCTGCTGTTTTCTTAAAGCAACACAGAGCAATACAAAAAGCAACAACAATTATAAAGACAAAACAGAAAAGGCAAAAAAAAAAAAAAAAAAAGGACATAAGACAGAAAAAAAGAAGATTTTAAAACCATTATTACATCAGTTCCTCTAATATTATACATTGGTCAGCAATGTTACACAGATATATATAGGCCAGTGGGCGCAGGCAATATGGTGATCTTACAGACAATGACAGGGTTATACCTTTAAACTGTTATCCTGGGCATTTGACAAATTATTAAAAAAGGGTTTCCAGGTTTCAAAGTCGGCAATGTTATCAGATTGTGTCTTAGTCTCTCTAAATTTAAAGTGCTAGAGAATTTGTGGTGGTTTTGATGCCTTTTTCCATTAATAAAGAATAACTTCTTTAGCTAACACTATTCCATATTGGACAGCTTTTATAATTTTATGACTAAACCCACGAAGTGAGTCAGACCAACCAAAAACAGTGATTGCTGGATCAGGGGCGACTTTACAAAAATGAGCCTCAGAGTAGTTGAAAATTTCACTACAAAACTCAAAGAGTTTTGGGCATGACCAAAAAAGATGTCCTAAAGAGTCTTCCACAGATTCATATTTGTTACATTTAGATGAAATGCAGGGGTAGAATTTATTAAGCTTTACACTGGGATAATGAAGCCGATGTACTACTTTATATTGGATTAGTTGATGTCCGGAGTTAATAGAACATGTGACGTGTTTTGTTTTAACATTGGTCTGACATCCTAATGAACACTTTGTGAATAAAAATGTCTTTTTTTGGTGATTAAAAAGTAACATTATTAAAATACATCATCAAAGTTTTAGAGTGTTTGTTCAAGTCAAGATTGAACTCGGGCCATTTGCAGCAACCTTACTTTGTGCACATGTACAGTCCACTAGGCTACATGAGATAGAGGTTTTTACCGACCCTGTCAATCAAACGAAGATTCGCCAGGCCTCGAAACGCTTCTGTAATGTCCGATGCTTTGAATCGCTTTAGTCACATGACCTAGTGTTTAGAAACACTTTAGTCATGTGACCTGGGTGTTATGAATCACCTTAGTCACTTGACCTGGGGGTTTGAATCACCTTAGTTACATGACCTGGGTGTTTTGGATCTTGCTTTGGTGCAATGTTTTGAAGCACTTGCGCTTCGGGATCTCGACACTGTATCGAAACGTCAGTTTTATGTCAGCAATCCCCACCAACAATGTGAAATAATACATAATTATTCAGTAAAAAAACAACGATTCTGTTCTCATTGGGACACATTTATGCACATATTTAGCATACATCTTGCTGGATTCAGTCATGTAGACCACTGATAATTTATCTGTATTATCATCACAGCAGCAAAAGTGGACAGCCGCAGAATTTGATTACACCAACAGGCGACTTTGACAGGATTTACATGCATTTGCATAGAGAATGTCACTTTTGTTGACTTTAACATGTGCAGTGGTCTGGGGGCTTTTGTTGGTCTGTTGGTATTGATGTGGGTTTTATCTATTTGACTGTCTGCTCAACATGAGCTCTGCTCCATCTGTTTGCACGAACTCTCAGCAACCGTTTCACAGAGACATGAAAAAGGCAGAAGCGAGACGCCCCAACCCCCGACCCTTGTTTCTCTTTTGCTCTCGCTGCGTCTTTCGTCTTTTTTTGCATCTCCCTCGATCACTCTCTCTCTCTTTCTCGACATACTCCAAAGCGTGGCTATGAAAAGACAGGAAGTGAGGATAGTGGTAGTATGTTCCCTCTTGACGGGCCGCTTAGAAGTCAAGTTTCTTCTTATTCTCACTGTTGTCTCGCTTTTTGCGTGAGGTGTCAGAAACAACACGGTGAAAGTCTGGAAACAAACAAACAGAGAAAAGAGAGCACCAAAAAACAACCCAAAAAAGATAGCTCTGTTGTGTTAGGTCCGTCTGATGTTCGGAGGAGCGGATCACATCTCTGACAGCAGACTTCCTCGGGACCTACAGGGGAAGTCGGAGATGACGTGTTTTACAAAAATGTCATTTCCCTTTTGTAGCCAAGCGTCCTCGGGCTGAATGACAGTCTGAAGCTGGGAGGCGGCACTGAACTCAGGGTGGCTGAAGGCTTTCTCTATCCCTTCTGCTCTTTTTTTTTTTTTTTTTCCTGGTATTGCGATTAGAAGATGTGCATTTATGGGCTGTGAATGCATCGGGATGGAAGATTTGTTTGGATTTTTGAAGCGATTTTAAACAGCAAGTAATAAAATGTAAAACTTAAATCTAAAAACACATTGAAAGAGTGAAAGCATGCTATTTACACGCTTTTTATTTGCTTGCTAATAAGCTGTGAAATGTGTACTATCAAATGTATGTGTGAATCCCACTGAACATTCTCTAAAAGTGATATGAAGAGTAAGAGATAAAGGGAAGAGCTTTGACAAAATCGAAACACAGTTGGTCACATGAGACCATCTAAAGCAGGGGTTCTCAACCTTTTTCACTTCAGGGCCCACTTCCTTCACCAATCAATCTTTAAAGGCCCACCTGACCTTTATTTCTAAAATGTTTGTATGAAATGCTTATGTGGGAAACCCACGCGAATGCAAGGAGAACATGCAAACTCCACAAAGAAACGCTAACTGACCCAGCCAAGGCTTAAACCAGCAACCTTCTTGCTGTAAGGTGACAGCACTACCTGCTGCGCCACTGCATCGCCATAATAAATAAAATGTATAATTTTTTTTACTATAAAACACTCACAGGACATTAATTTGGACAACTATGTGGATATATTAAATAGTTCACACAAAAATACACAAAGAGAGACTTTCACTTTCACTTCATGCATAGTTTGTGAATGAACAGACTATGTGTACTAGTTGCAGACAAGATCATGAGGCTGTTTCTGCAGTGAGATTAAGGTAATCAATCAATGGACAGGAAAAAGTGCATTGCTTCGTTCGTTTCAATATAGTATGTTAATAATGAAATCCAAAAATTACAGTATAATATTGAGAGTTCATCTCACGGCCGCGGCCCACCGGTCGAGAATCTCTGATCTAAAATGCAGATGTTAAACTCCTGCAGGTCTGAAGCACGGCACAGTTTAAGCCCTGGTCACACAGCATTTTCTCCCCGTAGACTTCTATTTATACACACATGAATGCGGCAGACCGGAAACGCAAGCTTGTCGCACAGTTTCGCAGTTCGCTGCGTTGGAAAGTTTAAGCTTGGTCAACTCAGACCTGCGAAATCAACTCACGTGATTGCGTGAGACCAATCGAAGATCAAAACATGACCTCTCTGGAAAGAAATGTAAAATATGGACCAGTCGCTCACTTTTTTAATGTCTACTCATCTTGTTTATTCCTGCCCCTTTTCGCAGCGCTGTACAACAAAATTTTCACACGCACAAACTCTAGTGTGACCGCGGCATTAGTTCCAACCTTAATTGAAAACACCCCATCAAACCAATTGAGTCCTTCAGTCTTGTTTGAAACATACAGAGAGGTGGGTTGAAGCAGGGTTGCAACTAAACTATACAGGGCTGCGTCCATCCAGGAACTGAATTTAACACCCCAAATTTAAACTCATAGTAAAACCAGGTGTAAACGGTTATGAATCACTTGTATTTGTAAATAGATAACAGAGAACATTACAGGTGGAACCAGTGTTTGAAAACATCTTTCTCAATAGTCAAGTATTGTCTGATTTTAATTAATGCTTAAATTAGCTGATACTTAAAGAAGAGAGAAAAACAGCCTACAATAGCAGTTATGTTCCGTTTTATGTAATGCTTTTTGAACAAAAACATGAATTACTGAATATATATTTCTAATAAACAATACATTAACTTTGTGTACATGGATTTATATATTTTTTGGTGTACAATCTATACCCAAATTCACAAAATTTCAGCATTTTTAATTAAACATTTTTCCCTTTTTCCAAGTTTTTGGTTCCACTTTATATTAAGTGACCTTAATTAATAGGTACTTACAATAAAAAAATAAGCACAAAGTACTTATTGTCTTTATGTTGTATTGCACAACACATGTCAAGTAATAATAATAATAGTAATAATAATAATAACAATAATAACTGTAACAATTAACTTATAAGTAATAATAATTATTTCTTACATTTATATATAGCGCTTTACCCTTTTTTTTGGGGGGGGGGGGGGGGGGTCTTCTCATCCACCACCAGTGAGAGGCATTCACCTGGATGATGCTACGCCAGACCGCACAACACACACCAGCTGATGGTGGAGAGTGATGAAACCAATTAAGATAAGGTGATGGTTAGGAGGCCATGATGGTCAGAGGGCAGTGGAAAGATTTGGCCAGGATCTCCATTAGAAAGACGGCTCTCACTGAGTATAAAGTCCCCATCAATATACTGGAGAGTTAGGACCCACTCAGACCCTCCCCTGCTGGTCTCCCTAAAACCACTTCCGGCAGTAATCTAGCTTTCCCATGTGGTCTCCCATGCAGGTATTGACTGGGCGCAGCCCTGCTTAGCCTCAATGGCCAACCATGTGAGAGTTGCAGAGAGCTAGCTACCAGCTGGGATATGGGTAGGGTTATAGGGACAGGTTTGCTAGTATGGGTAGGTTTAAGGGTGGGTTAATGTGTAAAGGATGGGTTAACAGTGTCATTTTAAATGAAATTACTGAAATTATTTACAGATTTATTTACATGGAAATCATTTATAAAATATAAATATCATGTATAAGCACCATGTAAAAGTGTAAAATGGTGTCAGCGAGCATAATACATTGTTAATCGCAATATGGCCTGTGTTTTCATGCACACTAATGTTTTTTTTTTCTTTCAGTACGGTAGAGGAAATGTTTGACGCTACACTGCATGTAACTCTTTATTCAAATATCTTCAACTTGAAACATTTTTCTGTCTTGTCTCTCTTTCTCCAGGTGATGAGTGGTACCTGTGCCGACTGACTCTGACCCTCCCCAACATGTCGAATCTACAGTGGGCCATGTTCCCCTATCCTTACCTGGCCGCCGTTGGTCCTGACACTGGTGCTGGATCTGTGGTCTACAAGCTTGTGGCCCAAAGTCCAGACGGCTCGGTGGGAACGGCTCACTTCCTTTTGGTTGATGGTAGGTGTGATGTTCAGAGTGGATTGGAAAGCTGGCAATACAATCATGCAGTCTGATAAAACGCTGCCCCACTTTAGATTTAGGCGAGTTAGACTGATGTCGCACATGTATTGCATGATCAATAATTTTAACCCCAGACAGTAGGCATAAAAGAAATACTCTTTAGCTGACACATTAAGCACAGGTTAGTAAATTTGTGACTTACAGTTTGGTAAAAGGGGTTGTTCTCCTAAAAAATAAAACAGTCATCATGTATTCATCCTTTTTACACTGGTGGTAATAAAATAAAAAATAAATAAAATAAAATAATTAATTTAAAGATCTTTTTTTAAATAATTGCTGTACTTCAGCACTTTCTATTCATTAAATATTTGTGAAAGGCATTAAAGTTTTCACAAAAATATTAAGTTATTATAAAATTATGGTTTTGTTAGTTTACAAAAATGACTATATAATATTTAATTATTTATTTTTATTTAATTATTATTAAGTTACCAGAAATCCTGGAGTAATGACTACAAATATATTTATATAAATTTTTTTTTTTTTAACAATAATTACTTCAGCTGACACGTTAAGCACAGGTTAGTAAATTTGTAACTTAAAGTTTGGTAAAAATAAAACAATCATTTATTTACCCAAATCTGTTTCAAATCTGAGTTTCTTTCTATCTTTTGAAGAATGTTGGATATCTGTAGCCATTAGCTATGTTTTCAACCACAGATGCAAATTAGATTTATGCGTAAAACTAGAATATTGTATAAAACATTTGCGAATAAAGCACAGTTTTCATCTGATAAGTCTAAGTGTCATGATCAACAGCAATCTAGGCCTTGCAGATCACTGGAAAGCACACACTATCACCCAGACTACAATTCTGCCACTGAAATGAACTACAACTACCATTATGCACCTCACACACACCAGTTCCAGATTACCTTTGATCGGGCAAACACAGCTTGAAGCTCAAAGACTGATTACATGGATTGTATATACTCCTCACATTCTCACACACATTGCTGAGTCTTGTTGTTTGTAACATTTCTAAGCGTTATTCTTGTCGTGTTTTGTTTATTCTTCCTGTTGTTTTTGCCGCCTGCCCTCGTTATTTGCCTGCTTTTGACTACGCTCTTGATGAATACGCAGTTGCTTTTGTGGGCATGAGACTCTCTTTGGAAGAATAGATAGTTCCATAGAATAGATAGTAATAACACTGAACTACTTTGATGACAGACTTTGGCAACATTTCAGAAATTTTACAATGTGGTCGGCCCACTGATTTGTCCAATTTTGTAATCACATTATCGCTTAAAACAAAATCACATGACTTTTTTGATGCGCTCAAAGGATTTTTTTTTTCTGTAAATGTGTTTTCATTGTAGTGAATGCGTAAATTTTCTTGTTGAATAAAAAGTTGTGCGCATGCCAGAGGTTGCACCAACTAGTCGACTAATCGACTAGTTGACTTTAATGCTCTGCCAAGATGCTTTTTGATTGATTTCAACTAGTCGCGCTGTTCAGATCACATATTTTGATTTTAACTACATGCAGCTTTACTCACGAAGGTAGGTTCACTGAATTCACTATCTTCCCTCCGATTATTTAAAATAAATTTTTAAATTATATTTTTCTTTTGTCAGCGTCAACAATTTATGTGTACATTAAGTGAATTTAAAATCATCAAACAGATGCCAGTTAGGTCACTCCATCTTGAGCAGGATTTTGAGCAGCTTTCTAGCGTGCACGATCATAGCGGTAAAATATGCGTCTGAGCAAGTTTATGAGAGTGTAATAAGGCTTACACTTATAGCATATCGTTATACAGTAGCTTTTGTCTTTCATGTGTTGTTGTTATGAATAATTTCACCTGAATCTGTGTGCTGAGGACGAATGCATTACTTCTGCACTAAAATATACGTTATTGTTACATTCTTACTAAAACGTGCAGTGACTTTGTTGACTGCATTTATTTATAAGTAAAACTATCCCTGTTGCTAATGTTGCATTGTTGCTGAAATAAAGTGTTACCAGTGCATTTGTTTTACACTTAAATCAGTCATTGGCAGTGGTGTAAAATAACAAATTACAAATATTAAGATCCCTGTAATCGAGTAGTTTTCTCAGGAATTGAAAATTACTAAGGCAAAGCAGTAGGTAGTGCTGCCGCCTCACAGCAAGAAGGTCACTGGGTTGCTGGTTCGAGCCTCGGCTCAGTTGGCTTTTCTGTGTGGAGTTTGCTTGTTCTCCCTGGGTTCGCGTGGGTTTTCTCCGGGTGCTCCGGTTTCCCCCACAGTCCAAAGACATGCGGTACAGGTAAATTGGGTAGTCTAAATTGTCCGTAGTGTATGAGTGTGTGTGCGAATGTGTGTGTGGATGTTTCCCAGAGATGGGTTGCGGCTGGAAGGGCATCCGCTGCGTAAAAACTTGCTGGATAAGTTGGCGGTTCATTCCGCTGTGGCGACCCCAGATTAATAAAGGGTCTAGGCCAACAAGAAAATGAATGAATGAATGAAATTTACTAAGTTGTAAATGACTTTTACTTTCCCTTGAGTACATTTTTCAAATGAGTACTATTTAAAACAGACACTTTTACTCTACTTGCGCTACATTTTTAGGCAAGTAATGGTACTTTTACTTAAGTATGATTTTTCAGTACTCTTTCCACCCCTGGTGATTGGTAATGCTGCATTGTTTTTGCAATGTGTTATGAGCTGTCCAACAGCCTGTGTATATAGTTTTTGCAAATAAATAGCATATTTTGGAAGTCCACTTTGATACTATGAATTGCCACTGTGTATTGAAATGTGCTATATAAATAAACTTGCCTTGCCTTGCCTGGCCTTGCCTATAAAAGTTGATTTCCAAAAATATAGTCGCTCAACCCCTAGTGCATATCTTCTTTTGTGAACATTTTCAAAATGATGCACATCTTGGAGTTTCCATTCAGCATTTTTATGTGATATTTCAAAATGTGCATAAAAATAGGTGGATGGAAACATAGTTATCAACTTCTATAGTATTTCCTTTCCTACTATGAATGTCAATGGCTATGAGTTTTCAGCATCTTTCAAAACATCTTCTTTGGTTTTTAACGGAAGAAAGAAGCTCATAAAGATTTGTGACTAATTGAGAGTGAGAAAATGATAGGTAAATTTAACTCTCCCTTTAAGGAGGAAGGACTATGTCCATTAGGATGGCATGAAATCATAATGGACACAGTAGACAGGTTTTATGTTTAGAAATAATGACCGTGACATGCCTTTTTCATCAGCTTGGTTAATACTGTAATAAAAACAGTTACAAATGTAATTCTTGTCTTTCCATAGTTATTCACTGTTTAAGTGATTTCATTTAGTACAGCTAAGGTCAGTTGTGGAATTCATTGTGATTAGTCAACGCAAAAATACCAAACAAGCAATTGACTGTGATATGTTATGGCACATGAGCATGTAATGTATGTGTGTTAGTACAGGTGTGTCGAACAGGTTTTATTGTACCTCTAGGACATCTTCAGAAACATCATAACCTCTCATAATGGCTAGTCGTTCATCATCTGATATGTTGTGACATTACAAAATTACTTCTCTGGTCCATAAGGATTTAGGCTGTGCTATAAATATTCTGTCTCTGGTGAAATTACACTGGGATGTTTGTAGGTGTCGTTGCCAATGGCTTTCTTTATCAAGAGTTTCTGATGCGGCCATTAGTTGAATGTCAGTCATTGTCAGGTAGACTAGATTTGAAGAAATGAATGATGCTGTGGGACAAAGTGCTGTTAATGTTTCAGGTTAGTATATATTTTAGACATCGATTCTGCAGAACTGAGATAGGAGTGATAAAATGGACATTCTTGAAAGGTGATTGTTCAATAAAGCATTAGTTATGTTACGATCAGTGTGGGCGCTATAGGAATTTTCTTTATATATTTGGAAAAAATATTACATCCCAAAAGGTCATGTCAAATAGATTTTTTAATGTTATATTGAATAAAAAAAAATGTATTCCTCAAAACATAAAAAATATATTCATGAATATAGTTGTACAATACACAGACCATTATTCATCATACATACAAATGCAAAAAATAAAATGCAATTACACTTATTTCCAGTGTGCATTAAATTATTCAGTCACAGTAAAGATTTTTATACTGCTGCCAAAAATAAATATTAAATTAAATTAATAAAAATTAAATTAAAGTACTATAAATAACCAGAGTATCTTACCTCAGCCATCTTCGTCTTGAAGAATCCCCCACTTCCACCCCTACTTCTCCCACCCCCCTCCTCCCACCCCTAATGGTTAGCATTATTGCCTCACAGCAAGAATGTCACTGGCTCAGACACTACCTGGCCAAGTTGGCATTTCTGTGTGAGGCTTGCATGTTCTCCACGTGTTTGCGTCCGGGCTTTCGTCCGAGTTTTTACCGGGCTTTCAGGTTTCCGCCGACAGACCAAAAACATAAAACAAAACTAAATTGACAAAACTAAATTGACAGCTTAGACACTCCATAGCATTCATAATTTACTCCCAACATTATAAAGCAGGGGGAGTTCTCGAGACCTACCTGAACTTGGACTCCCCTCTCGCCCTGCAATAGGGGGGAGCCCTGGGCTCGAGTATCTCACAATCTCAGGGCTCTCTATCGGGACAGCATGCCAAACACGCTTCATAATCAATCATCCGCTAGGGGGCGAACTCCTGAATCACCTGTAGCTTTCGTCATGAGCCATGGCTGTGTTCAAAATGACATCAATGTTTTCAAAGAGCACTGTCAAGGGAGCACAAATGTCAACATGAAGATCGCTAAAACTGAACTGTAAAAGTACTTTGAAAGCAAATTGCACCTAAGAGAGAGATGACTTTAATGCTTATATATATATATAGTTGAATATATTATATATATATAAATTCCAAGTTTAAATGTCAGAATGTTCTAAATGAATAGGGCATAGGGAGGATAAGTGGCTAACTACAGCTCTAGAGTTTGCGACGTATTT